TGTGGCTCAGAACCATATGTGCAAAGAAGGGACTTGTCACCCCAGTAGTCGTGTATAAGCAAACATACGAACAGTAAATGTCCACTGGGCCTTGAGCACATGTAGAGCCCGCCTATGGCAAATGTTTCGGAAAGGGAAAAGTCCTCACCTATGGAGTGCCAATTCTGCGGGTGGGGCAAAAGCCATCATGTGGACACACCGGATCAGAAAGCATCAACCCTGCAAAAACACAGGGGAAGAGCATCCAGCCAGAAGAACAGCATGTGCAAAGGCCCAGGGTCAGGAAAGAGCTATGTGCGAGAGGGACAGATTAGGTATCTGTGCAGGAACAGAGTGGGCTATGAGAGAATGGCAGGCTCTGGGCTGGTCATGTGGACTCCCAGGCCTGGATGAGAACTTGGATCTTACTAGACCCCCAATGGAGGCTGCTGTGGGTAAAAATAGGAGTGATAAAGCCTGGTTTTCCATAGAAGAAATCATCCCGGTTTCTGGATGGAGACTATCTTAGTCTGCTTTCTATTATTACCTGAGACTTTGTAACATGAAAGAGAAGGAAGAGAAGGGACTCACGGAGATCTGCCTGCCTCTGCCTCCCGTGTGCTGGGACTGAAGGCGTGCTCCACCACCACCCAGCTAAGAGAGGAAGTTTAAATTGACTCAGAGTTTGAAAGGCCAGTACATGGTCCAGAAGAGAGCCTCCCAATTCTTCAACCCATAGCAGAGAAAAGAATGGCAAAAGGAGGCACATGATCAGCTCTCAAGGCATTTGACTCAGTCTAGAGAGTAGTCGCAAGGACAGGAAAGACATTTGCCCCTCAACTGCATAAAGCTCACATCTTACGATATCACTGGCAGTGGTTTCAGTGTGAATTTTGGCAAGATGAGCCATCTAGGGCAGAACCAAAGGTGAAGTGTGAATGAGGAATGAAGTGGCAGTTGATAGTCTGGATGGGAAGGGGGGGCTTACCGTGGGACACTGGAGCAGAGGACCTGGAATGAACAGCATGCACAGGGGGTTACTGGCTCACTTTTGTCCACTTTGTCTCCCAATTTCAGGCTTCATGAGACCAGAGAGCATGTACTGCATCCCCCCATCTCTGGTAGCCAGCAGCTTCTAAAATGAATCGTTTAGATCAGTGCCCTCGAGAACTAACGTGGAATGGTGCCCATCACACAGACGGCCCAGCCAGCTACTCGGCATTCGCTGGCATCTGTCTCCTGGAGGTTCCCTGCTTGAGCATCTTTTTCAAGCTCTGGGACCATAGACTGCTTTTGAAAGGTTCAGATCCTGATAGTGGGAGACCAGGGTTGAAAATCCAATGTGGCCTTTTATAATGTATTTGTTGGCTTTTGCTGCATAACAGACAATTCCCAAACTAGAATGGTTTAAAATAGCCAAGTATGAATGGCTTTGCACACCAGCTGGATGGTTCCTCAGCTGAATACGCCTGGTGTTGCCCATGGCCATGGCTGGCTACAGGGTCCACAGTGACCTTTACCATTTTAGAATGACAGTTGACACCAGCTACTGACTAAATTTTCTCATTTCTTCATAAGGTCTTGCATCTTTTAATAGGTGAGATCGGCATCCTTACCCAGCATTCTAAGTCAACAGAACAGAAGCTTCTAGAACATCCTATCAGTAGAAACGATGAGAGAAGAGCCTAGATGCAGAGGAGTGGAAACAGACTTCACCTTATTGTGAGCAGAGGAAGAGGTACTTCTGGGCTTGTTTAACCTACCACACAGGTGTGAGGGCTGGGCCTCACATCTTGGCCCCTCTGCACCTTCACTGTCAGCAAACTAGGTCTTAGAACATCTGTTTTGTAGAATTAGTGGTGAGAATGACAGTGTGTTACATGCAGAGTCTGTAGTGCTTTTTACTCTACTGATCCCCTAGAAAGCAGTCATCGGGCGGCTGTAGTGGGAAGTTGGCTACTGGGTGGAGGTGAATGGCTTTCGAGGTTAACAGTAAATCACGCTATTCCATGGGGTTTACAGTAAACGGCAGCTCAGTGTTGAATTCAAATACCTTGATTTGTAAAGAGCCCTGATTTGTTACTTATGCTCAGTCATCTGTCTTGGTCTGGGAAGAGGGCAGGCCAAACAGTTCCTTGGGCTCTGAGTGTGAAAGATGATAAGCCATTTTTCTCTCTTTCTAGCATAGCCTACAATGCCTCTCCAGAGAGTCACGTTAAAACAGAACCGAAGTCAGACCAGTGGGACACGCCTTTAATCTCTGCACTTAGACTGAGGCAGGCAGATCTCTGAGTTTGAGGCCAGCTTGGTTCACACAGCCAAGTTCTAGGCCACCCAGGGCTACATAGTGAGACTCTGTCTCAAACAAACAAACAACCCACTAAACAACAACAGCAGCAGAAACAACCCAAGCTAATTGTGACTGTCACAGCCTGGCTTGGAGCTGAGGGAGTTTAGTTTGTGGACATTCTTTCCTTGGGGTACTGGGCCTGGGTGTGGTTGAGAATGGAGAGTCATGGGGCTTCCTCTAAGAGCAGAGTCTACTTCCTGTGCTCTGGGTTAGGGTCTGACAACTCCTCACCCTACCCAGCCAGCGCCTGTCCCCAGAGGCTGCTGTGGCCAGGCTGGGGACAGGTCTGTCTTCTTGAGCTGTGGAAACCATTGGGATCTGTAGTGGGTGGGGCTGTTACCACCTGATAATTGACAAGGTTTTTTTCTGTACCAAGTGACCCTGGATGTAGGAGATGCAGGGGTAGGGGACAGGTGGAGAGAAAGAATGGAGGTGTGTTTGCTTCTACAGCTGCTGTTCAAACTACATAGACCTTGTGATTTCAAAATGAAATCTAGCCCAGAGTGTTCCAGAGGCTCAGAGCCCACTCCCTCTGCCGGTCTCAGAGAAAAGCCTTCTAGTTCTTCCCAGCTTCTGGGGGTTCACTCATGTTCGTCTTCCATAGCCTGTGGCTGCATCCCTCCAGGCTTGTGAGTCTCTATGCTCCGCCCCTTCCCTCCCTCTCTTGCTTTTGGACAGGATCTCACTAGTCCTGGCTTACCTGGAGCTTGCTAAGTACAGCAGGCTGGCCTTGACCACAGAAATCCACTTGTGTCTGCCCCGCCAGTGCTTAGTTTAAAAGTGTGAGTCCTGTCCCCTTCTTCTAAGGTCAGACCCACCCTAGTCCAGGCTGGCCTTGTTTGATTACATCTACAAAGATGCTATTTCTGGGGCTGGAGAGATGGCTCAGTGGTTAAGAGCACTGGCTGCTCTCCCGGAGGACCAGATTCAATTCCAGGCACCCACATGGCAGCTCACTACCATCACATGGTGGCTACAGTCCCAGTGGATCTGACATCCTCTTCTGGCCTCGTAGAGTACCAGGCATGGGGCACATCCATCCACCCTGGCAACACACACACAGTAAATTTAAAAAAAAAATTATTAAGATGCTATTTCTTTCTTTTTTTGATTTTGAGACAGGGTTTCTCTGTGTAGCCCTGGCTGTCCTGGACCTCACTTTGCAGACCTGGCTGGCCTTGAATTCACAAAGATCCACCTGCCTCTGCCTCCTGAGTGCTGCAATTAAAGGCGTGTGCCACCACTGCCCGGCAGCTGGAGTTTCGGTTGGACATGATTTAACCAGCATGGAAGTCAAAACAGAAGCAGATGAGGATGGGAGACAACCGCCAGTAAAAATGCAGGGTTTGGCAGTTTATCCTGAGATGAACAATGCTCTCTTCAGATGGAAATGAAGTAGCTTCTACAACAGACTCATCTCATAATTGGGAATAAATGATGGGATGATGGATGCAGGAAACTGTCAAAATCTGAGAGCTGGGTGGAACCTAGTGGAAGTTGACCAAGTCTCAAGAGGTTCCCAAAGGTGGACATGTGACATTGCATCATGAGACATCAGGTTGAATTTGCTAAGGTTTAGATAGCACATGTTGGAATCCCTGAACACACAGTGACAATGTCCCCTGGGCAAGGCTCCTGTACCCCTCAGATCCTCAGTTTCTCAGTCTGCAAAATGTAGTAACACACTAGGTGATCTCAAGGACATTACATGAACTGTATGCACATCACCTGACATTCAGTCAATTACTATGTAGTGAATCTATATGTTCCCGTTTCTTAGCAACACACACACACACACACACACACACACACACACACACACACACACACACACTGCTAGATCTGAGGCATAGATCTGTTTACCCCCAGCTGGAGCTCAGGGGCTCTGTATCTTTTAAGGATTTCTATATTCTCAAATACCTTCCACACATTTCACAGCCAGTGCAGTGCATGAGGTCTTCTCCTATAGCTCTGGCCGGCAAGTCTCAGAGAAAATTCTGATTGGCCTATCTGGGTCATGTGACTATCATAGAGCCTGTCTGGGTCAAAGTCCACAGCCATCTCTCATGGTCTCCAGATGTCCAGGGCAGCTCCTGAATGGGAGGGGGCAGGCTGTTATGGTTGCTGAGGTAAATTCTCTTCCATCCACACATTTTATAGTCCTTTATAGCCACCTGTGACAGTCCTTATTTTCCCAACTGCTCGAGGACTGGGGATGACTTCGGCTTAGGAATTCAGAGGTCCTTTGCAAATGAACCCCTCATTCCAAGTGCCTGAAGTTCAGTGCCATCTGTTTCCTGGGCCTCCTGCTGTCATCTGACCAGGCTGAGATGTGGACAGGGGAGGAGGTCACACTGTCCATCCATGGTCCCTCATCTTCCTGGGGGGAACATTCTAGAACCTCTGTGTCTCTCCTCAGTCAGTTCAAGAGTACAGCAAATTCCACAGAGCTAGACAAAGACCTTTATATGACATCAACTGCTAGAAATTTCCCAATTCCTGGGGTGAATGCTTTTCTCTGCAGCCTCCTTCTGGTTGGAGCAGCCCAGGAACTCTCCACCAATGAGCAGCAAGGCTGCAAAACCTGGAACTTTATAGCTTAGCAACAAGAAATCTGGAAGAACTCAGGAATTCATGTGAGAAAAAGGGAAGGAAAACAAGGACAAGGGAATTAGCTAACAAGCAAGTAATGAGGCTGTGAGTTTTATTATTACCTTGGCGGGGAGGCAAGGAATGAACACTTTCAGTGTTGATTACTGCAAAAGCCAGCGAGCTATCTTCACATCAACTCTGAGGCTCATGGTCCCCCAAACACCAAGTGAGTGCTGGGGTAGGGATCTGAACGGAGCTAAGAGGGGTAGACAAATGAGGTATAATCACTGAAGACAAATCAGACCTCAGATGTCCTATCAGATCTTGTCTTTTCTCTGGGATCATCTTCCATCTTGTGATATCAGGGTGACCTGCCAGACAGAAATCAGGACAGGAGACCCTGGTGGGTGTAGAGGGTTTCTCTGACTCAGATGGAGCAGTGAGGGTGGTATTGGTGGGACCTTTTGATGACTCTAGAATGTCATCCACATGTCACCATCCAGGAGCTGTGAAACAGAAGTGAGCATCAGAGACTGGTCGGCCCCTTGGATTGACAGTCTGGGGAAATGGCTGACAAGGCTGGGGGAGACTAGATACTCAGTTCATATGTGTATATGTGTGTGTGTACACGTGTGTAGGTCAGAGGCCAGGCACACGTGTCATTTCCCAAAGCTACTTTTTGAGACAGGGTCTTGCACTGGGGACTTGAGCTTACTGATTAGCCTAGCCTGGCTGGCCAGGGAGCCCCTGGCCAGAGTCATCTGTCTCTGCCTCCTTAGCTCTAGGATTGTAAGTGTGCCACCATGCTCAGCTTTTTATGTGTTCCTACTTAAGTAGCAAGCACTCTACCAGCTGGGCCGTTCCCCAGCCCCGAGGGGTTGATAACTAGGTGACCAGGCCGGCAGATCTTCAATTAGAACTATACTGATACTGGAAGGACTGGGAGGGGAGCTAAGAACCGAAAATGAGGAAGGAAGGGTACGGGTACAGGTGATCCTTACCCTGTTGGAGTCTCAAGGGAGCCAGGTCCAAGCCTTGGACCTGCAAAGTCTCTAGTTTGTCCTAAAGTAATGGGAAAATGAGAACTTACTTAGCTGGTAAACAAGTCAGGGTGCTGCTTTTTTAGAGCAGAGAGAGCAGTTTAGCTTTTGGGTAATAGCAGACGGAATGGCCGTGAAGAAGGATGCTGGACCATGGACCAATCTGAGGGGCCACGGAGGTTACACATGGATGGTCCATGGGTGTCACACACATGAAGCCCCCAAATTCGAAGGGATCTTGTAAATTGATCTCAATTAGCTTCATCCCCAGAGTTTGCTTCTTAGAACACACTCCTTTAGCCATGTCTGTGGGATTGAATGTGGATGGAGTGGGAGACAGCTAGGCTTTTCTGATTTACCACCTGAATTTCTCAGGACCCCAAACCCTTCAGTCCAAGGTGAGCAAGCCATGCCCATCATCTTGCTCCAGGACAGGATGCAATGAAGCTAACTTCTAGCCAGGTGTGGGACTCATGCATATAATCCCAGCACTTAGGAGGTTGAAGTAGGATCTGGAGTTCAAGGCCAGGCTTGGCTACAGAGCATTGTCAAGGCCAGGTTAGGTTACATGAATTCCTAGCAACACACACACACACACACACACACACACACACACACACACCCAAACCAAAACACCCTCCCCCCAAAAAAACCCCAACAACAGAAGAGCACAACTAAAACAAAACCAACAAAAACTAGAACATGGAACTAGTCTGTTTCATGACTGGAGGTGTAGCAGCTAGTGTACGTTTGCTTTTCATGTATGAAGCCTGGATTCTATCTCCAGCATCGCATAAACTAGGAGCGGTGGCACATATCTGTAACCCTGGCCTGGCACTCTAAAAATGGAATCAGGAGGATCGAAAATTCAAGGTTATCCTCAGCTACACAGCAAGTCTGAGGCTAGCCTGGGGTACATGAGACCATGTCTTAAAAGAAAAATAAAAAGTCAGCTTTCTTTGTTATAGGGAACAATTTCTCCCTGCTGCTGACCTGCTCTGTGCGTCAGATGGGGACTTGAACTCTATGGGCTACGTTTTTCATTTTAAAAATCGAGTTAGGAAGATCTTTGGCCTCTTGGTAGCACTAACTTCCTGCTTTATCAGTACGCAGGTGGCCAGGCATAGAGGGGGACCATGGGCTCCAGGGTGGCCCTGAGCAGGTGAGAGCAGCAGGGAAGGTGTCCTATGCCCGGGCACAGCAGGGGAGCAGTGACCATGAGAAGCAGGGTCAGGAGTTACGCTTGCCCCAAAGGAACCAGGCTGTTTGTTTAAATTGGGTGTGAGAGGACAATCTGGCCTCACATCTTTCAAGGGTGTTTGGAAATTCATCAAGATTATCCTTCACCCCTGAATCTGGCTCCACCAGGTGGAGATGAGGTCCTCATAGACATTGTTCACTTGATAGAGATCTACTGAGTTTGCTGGGGTTATGTGTGTGTGTATGTGTGTGTGTGTGTGTGTGTGTGTGTGTGTGTGTGTGTGTACAGGTGCACAAATGCCATGTTGTATAAGTGGAGATAAGATAACCCTGGGTGTCAGTCCTTGCCTTTCACCTTGTTTGAAACAGGGGCTCTTTGTTTTCTTCTGAGGACACCGGGCTAGCTAGCCCCCTGCCTCCCATTTACCCTGGAGGAGCGTTGGGATTACAGATGTGTTCTCTACTGTATTCAGTTTTACATGAGCTCTGGGGATTTAAACCCAGGTCTTCGTGCTTGTGCAGCAAGTGTTTGAGCTTGCTGAGCCATCTCCCCATCCCTGATCTGGCCCCTTTATATTCTATTCACTTTACAGAAGAGGTCCAGAAAGGTGCAAAGGCCCTGGCACTAAGGGCAGGGTCAGAACTGAACACACATGATTCAGGGACTGCCCCCACCCCACTTGGCCACTCCTTTCTTGGTGACCATGCAGGAAGGTCCAGAGAGAAGGGTGTGGCAAGTAGGGTGGTGCTGTGAAAATCCATCTGGGGGAGGCTCCAAAGGGAACAACATCATGTCCTGACATTGATATTGGCAGCCTGGCATGACGCTAGTGTAGGCTTCTGAATGCTGGTCCTTACTAGTTGCCATGGAGATGAGTCAGGATGCTTGAAGATGTATCCTAAGCCTGTTCCCCAGGCTCACCTGGAGACACAGTAGTGCAGTGGGGAGCTGTGATGGCTGTTCTTGGTTGTCAACTGGACTACAACTGGAATTAACTAAAACCCAAGTATCTGGAAACACCTGTAAGAAATTTTTTCTTAATAAAATCATTTGAAATAGGAAGACCCACTTCTAATCTGTATATCTGAGGTGAGAAGATGAACCTTTAATTCAAATCTTTTGAGGTGAGATGTTCCACCTTTAGTCTGGCCCACGCCTTCTACTGGCAGCCTATATAAAGGACATGGAAGAGGGACGCTGGCTTGCTCTTTGCCTGCTTCCTCTCACTGGCAAGTCCATTCCTTCAGCAGCATTAGCCTACTTGTGGATTTCAGAGTCTACTGAAGACCAGAGGAGACACCAGCCTCATGGACTGAACAACTGCTGGGCCTTTTTGGTACACAGACATTGTTGGACTAGCTGGACCACAGCCTGTAAATCATTCTAGTAAGTTTCCTTTATATATATGGGTGTATGTATATATGTATATATAATTATTATATATAGTTAAAATGATAACTTATGGAACACACACACACACACACACACACACACACACACATACACACACACACACATACACACACACACACAAAGTTCTGTTCCCCTAAGGAACCCTAACTAATACAGGAACCAATCTGATATCCTTGAGAAGTCAGAAAAAAAAAATGATTTTCCCATTTTTGTGTGTGGTATATGTAGATGTGAATGCTTGTGGAGACTAGAGGTATATGTTCCATGTCTCACCTTATTTTTGAGGCAGGGACTCCCAGTGAACCTGAATTTGCTGATTCAGCTAGACTGGCTGCCCAGTGAGTCCCAGGGATCCTCCTGCCTCTCAGCCCATGCACTGATGTCACAGGCACATGTTACAGTGCCTGGCTTTTTCCACAAGTGCTGGGGATCCAAACTCAGATCCTAATGTTAATGCAACAAGCAAGTTCCTCACCAACTGGGCCATATCTCTCACTACTGCTGTTAAGAGCTTCCAGCACACACGTAGGAGTGGGATGAGAGGATGAACTCAATAGTCTTGTTCCATGCATATATACCATCCAGCCTATCTCGAAGCAAACTACAAACACCAGTATATATCAGACTCCAACAGGAAAAACTGCTTTGCCACCATCACCCATTAAAATGAACAGTAATGCTTTAACACTAGTGAAAACCTGGTCCTCCTTCAATGTTCCTGGGGCCTCATGAGTGCTTTCTTCACAGTTGCATGAAATCAGAATCTAGAGAAGGCTCAAACGTCACAACAGGTCATGCTGGTTACTTCTCCCCTAATCGACATACAATTCACTCCCCATTTGGTTGTTGAAGAACTTGGACCATCTTATGGTTAACTGGAGTTTGGATTTTGCTTATTTTTGACCTCATGTTCAACTCCCATATTTCTCATATACTGGTACTCAGATTCGGAAGCTCCTTTAGATTTGTGTTTTATTTATTTTAGTAGGACTATGTAGTGGGTGGTTTCACATTCCATTCAAAAATGACATCTGGCTTCCCTTCTCTAGTGTCCTAGCAGCTGCTGGACATTGTCTCAACCCACTGTTTCATTAGAAATCACAAAATAGTGCACACTTAGCTTGTGTTTGCTGAGGGGAACACTTCCATAAGCAGTGTCAGTGTGGGGCTGGGGTGTGGTGCAGTCAGGAGAGCCTATCATGCACGAGGGCTGGATCTGCCCCAATGCTGCGTAACACAAGTGTGGTGAGGCATTCCTAGGATCCTGCTTAGGAGGTGGAGGCTCAAAAGTTCAAGGTTGGGACGGGTGAAATGGCTTGGTGCATAAAGTGTTTGCTGCAAAGCACAAAGGCCTAAGTTTTGATTCCTAGAACCCATGGAAATGCCCGGCAGGTCACCTGTAATCCCAGTACTTGGGAGACATAGTCAGGAGATCCCCACAGCAAGCCAGCAGAGAGAGACCCCTCTCTGTATATAAGGTAGACAGCAGACATCAACCTCAGGCCTCAGCATGTGCACACACATACATATGAACCAACACACATGGGAACTCGTGTGGACATGCACACAGAAGTTTGAAGTCATTCCTGGCTACAGAATGAGTTTAAGGTCAGCCTGATCTACATGAAACCCTGTGGTCAGTGCTATGATGTCTCAGCAGAGAAGGAAGGGCAAGGTCAGGGAAGCTCTGCCATCTGAGCCATGTGCTTGGTCTCGGTGCTGGCTGGCTCATTACAGCTGTGAAGTCTCTGGGCCTGCAGACAGCTCCAGAACTTTCTCCACCCATCACAGTGATCGAGATTTGTGAGCCTACTCAGGGCACTGAGCATTTGAATTGACTCTAGGACACTCTAGGGAATCCATTATAAAATTTTATTTTAAAGGCAGGGTATCACTCTGTAGCCCAGGCTGGCCTGGAACTCACTATGTAGCCCAAGCCATCTTCAACCCCTCAATCCTCTTGCCTCAGTTTCCTGAGTGTTTGGATACAAGCATGTAACCCCACACTTGGCTAAATGTATTTAAATGTACCTAATTTAAACACAAATCATCACAAGTGGCTGGCAGCTACCGTTTTGGACAGCCCCCCTCCAGCAAACCCTCACTCATTATGCTTGTCCATCTGTAAAATAGGGATTAATAAGTTACTTCAGTAGGAAAATGGGTGGATTAGATCATGTATATCAAGACCAGGGGCACACAAGCCCCCATCAAATGCTTACATCTATTATCAACATCAGCTTGACACACTTAAAAAAAAAAAAAAAAAAGAGGCAAAAATTCCAGAGAAACTCACGGAAAATATCCTTCATAACAGAGGACGGAGGCAGAGAAAACTTTGGGCTATGAGGACTTTACTTCATTACAGGTCCAGTGGTGGCTCAATAAATTAAGCAATCACTCCAAATAACATGTTGCTTTACTCGCCTGTTTGGAACGGTTTCAGGCTGTTTGATTGTTACATGACTGTGAAAGGCAGAAACGCAAGCGGCGTCTGTTTCCTTCAGCCCCTCTCTGGAGCATACCTGACTGGCAGCAGGGAGGTTATCAAGCAGAGAGGGACTCTTGAGCAGAACCAAGCCTTTCCCAACCTTGGCTTTGCTATATCCCACTGAGACTCCTGGCAACTTTACCTGAAGCCAAAACATAGCAGCGCTGGGCAGTGTGGTGCCGGTGGGATGGTCCCTCTCTCTGTGGAGCTTCTGTCCTCAGTGGCTCTCTGCTGCTTTACTGTCTTTGCGGTAGAATTTTGTTTCCCTTAGAAACTTGGCATCGGAAGTGTCAGCCTGGGAACATATTTGTTTGTGTAAAATTAAAAAGAAGAATATGTTTTGACCATATTTAAGTCCTAACCATGCTAAAGAAATAAATACTGGCTGGCACAATGCTACTCTGAGTTTCCCGGCTCGCCTCCTCAAACTCTGCCTTTGTTTACATAACCTAGACTCCCAAGAGCGCTGAATGGCTGGTCTCCTCAGAAAGCTACATGATCACCTTGGCAGCCATGGCCACCTGGCCACCCGGGCCATCCAGGCCCTCTTACCTCACTGAGAATATTGTTTCTCTGCTAGAGGGAAAAGCTGCCAGAAACAGGGGTCCTTATGTATTCATTGTTGAGTCACACAACCTTTCGGAAGGGCACCAGGGAATCGATGCAGAAGTTAAAAACGTACAGATCCTCTGATGAAGACATTCCACTTCTTGGGTTTGTACTTGCGCCAAGGAATGTATGTGTTTTCACAGCCAAGTCCAGGAGTTAACACAAATGTTGACCAGTAGAGGACATTAAATATGGTGAGATGCTGGATGCTACTGGCCTGGGCTGGCCCTGGGAGCTGCATCTTCCGGGTAATGGCCACACTCTGGTCTTCATTTCATGATAAAACAAAACAAAGGGCACCTGATCTTGCCCATAAAATTTATGTCAATGGTACAAACCACAAATGGTGGTACTTCCTTCGTGTGTGCAGATGTATGAAGTGTGGAGGCCAGTGGACAACTCTGGGTGTTCCTCAAGTACTGTCCAGACAGGTTCTCTCACTGATCTGGATCTCTCCAATTAGACTGGGTTGGCTGACCGGCAACCCTCTGCCTCTCCAAGCTGGGTTTACAGGCATGCACCACACACCCAGCTGTTTCCATGAGCTCTGGAATTGAACTTGGGTCCTCAGACTTGAAAAGAAAAAGCCCTTTACCAACTGAGCCATCTCTCCAGCTTGGTGGTTAGTTTTTAGAAGGTGAGGTTGGACTTGGAGTAAATTTTTCCTTTACTTGGCATAAGTGTGTGTGAATGTGCACGTGCATGTGCCATTGGCACACACCACAGCACACGTGTGGAGGTCAGAAGACAAGCCGTGGGAGTCAGCACTCACCTTCCACCGTCTGAGCCCCAGGGATGAACTGCGGTCCTCAGACTTGATGGCGAGCACCCTTATCCACTGAAGGCCCAGTCCCTCCGGTCTCTTTTGTGCTATCTTTTTCTCTTAACCATAAGGACTGCATTTTAAAAATGTCTGGGATCATTACAAAACATTAGTGGGGTATTAAAAGTCACTTCTGACTAGGTGCTGTAGCAAATGCCCATAATCCTGGCACTTACGTGGCTGAGGGCAGCCTGGATTAAAACAGGAAGATCCTGTCTCAGAGAGAGGGTGGTTGGGAGGGAGGGAAGACGAGATGGGAAACGTTCATTCTGCATCCTGGCTGAAACAGAATAATAGACCAGCTCTCTTTGACCACATGCCTGACAGGCAGGAGAGGCACCAGGCAAGGACTTACAGCTGTCTTGTGTGCCCAGCCTGCGGGGCCTGAGGTTTCAGTCACATTTAACAAACGAATACCCTCAGACCCCCTCTTCTCTGAGTCCCCGGCTGGATCCTTTACCCACCCCAACCAGTCAGAATACCCCTTCATGACAAAGGACTGACACATCACCCCGGCACTCTGGAAGCTCTGAATCCCAAAGTACTGAGTAGAGATGATGAGTCCTGGGGACAAGAGTCTAGGTGAACATGGGAAATGAGGCTTGTGGGTTGGTAGAGGCTAGCCCTTGAGAAAGATAATGGCCTTCTGTTCTGAGCTGGGAGGCATTGGCTAGCCACCTGCTTCTACTGGGCACCCTGGATCTGTGTCGCTCCGGCCGTCTGCTCCCTTGTGTGCCTGTGTTCCTGAAAGTGCAGCCCTGTCACCTGCTGGAGTATCTAAACCCACTTAGAAGCTAGGATTAGATGTTGTGGCCTCAGACAAAAGATTGTTTTTTAAGTTCTTAGAGCCTACAGGTTGGATGGGGTCATCTTACTTCAGGAGATTCAAATGATATGGGTTTGGATCTTGACATACCAGGGGACACCCAACTGTCATTGGAACCACTCCAGGGATAGGATGAGGCTTGCTCATGTGTCTCCTGGGTACCCACGGTTTACATTCTTGTATCCGATACATCTTCTTCTGCTGCTCACACCCTGTGCACTCACAAAGGGACCTTGCTGGCTGACACTGCAGTTTGGAAAAGAGACTCTGAAGTAGTGGTTTCACCCTGAATCCTTTGAGTTACACGGCTGCTCTAGCCTCCTCACCCAGGGCTCCTCCCTTCCCATGCTACACTGCCCTACTCCAGATTCTGTCCAGCTCTCCTGTCCTCTCCAAATTCCACCCACTGAAAGTTTGAGACAAAGGGAAATGTTAAAATGTTAGGGCTGGAGAGATGGATGTCAGGAAAGATTATGCCTTGCAAATGTGGGGTTCTGAGTTCGAATCTTTAGCACCCATGGAAAAAAATGAGCGTGGTGGTGTGCACCTGTATTCCACAATGAGGAGATAGGAGGCAGAGACATGCAGATCCCCAGAAAATGACAGACCAGATAGCCTGGCTCAGCCTGATAAAGTTCCAGGCCAATGAGAGTCTCTCAAAGGAGAGGCAAAAGGCAAGTGAAGGCCCATATGTGATGCTGTCCTCAGACTGCCACATGGTCTCTGTGCACACATATACGCAGAGTCACATGTGCACACACACAAATATGAAAGAGGCAGAGAGGTGACTCAGTGATTAAGAGTGCTTACTGCTCTCTATTGGAGGATCCTGGCACCAGCCTTGGGTAGCTCACAAACATCTGTAACTCTAGCTCCAGGGAAACTCTGTACCCCGTTCTGGCCTCCATGGGCACCTGAATACACATGTGCATACACATGTACACACACATGTACACACACACACACACACGGAGCAGAAAGAGTAACAAAACACTGGCCAAGAGGCGACATACTGAGGGGAGGAGAGAGGAAACAAGCTGAAGACCGCACTGGAGCACCTGGACGACGGGATATCTGCTGTCGTTGTCTCAGGAACCAGCAACTCCACTGCTAGCAGTATACCCAGGAGAAATAAAGGCGTACATTCATACATGAACATTCACAGCTGTATTGCTCATGACAGCCACAAGTGGAACAGGACTCAGGCACAGATGAGAACCAAGTCTTCAGCGGGGTGTGGGGAGACAAGCTCGTCACACTGGCAGCTCAGAAAGCAGGGGCAGGGGACCAGTTCAAAGGTAGTCTTGGCTGTGTAAGACTGATCTTGAAAAACCCAAAGATTAAAAAGCATAAGGAAAAGGATGGAAGGGAGGAAGGAAAGGGAGAAAAGGAAGAAGGTAAGTCCATCCTATACCACAACATGGCTGTACTCTGAGACCACTGTGTCACATAAAAGGACCAGACGGAACGATCCCATGCATGAAATGCCAGAAAGTAGATTAGTGACTGGTAAGGAGGGGGGCGGGGAGCAGCGGGCAGGATGACAGGCAGGTGATGGGAAGGCTCTGGAGCTCATTTTGATGATGGCTGCATGACATGACATTGAATACACCCAAGGCCACCAAATGCCACTGTGCATGTTTTCATGCTAAGTGGATCACTCAGTAATAAAGTCCCATTCTGTCCTTCTCCTGGGTGCTGAGGTTACAGGCATACGCCATCATGTATGGTGTCTTTTGAGACAGGGTCTCACGATCTTCCTGCCTCAGCCTCTGGAGAGCTAAGTTATACTACTGACTTATTCTCTACACTGTCTTATGTAACAGTCCAGAAACCCTGAGCCATGGCCCCTGCCGGGTCTCACACCCACTCGAAAAGGAAATGAGTGTCTTTAAGTGTACTTAGCTTCTTCCCCTGGGACAGGCTTCACAGACCCAGCCGTATAGGCCTTTAAATCTGTGTTGCCTTTGAACCCCACAGAGCCTGTTAAACACCAGTGTCCACTGAACAGTGTTGGTGTTGGGGCAGTTTGGGGTCACGGGGAGGGTCTTAGCAGACCTCAGTCTCTACTCTCACAAAGCTTTCCAGGAGCCAAGCAGGGTGGAGGAACTGACACTGCTTCCCTAGAAGGGGTCAGTTGCTTAGGGAGGTTCGGGTCAGGAGAAAGAGTAGTTTATGATCCACTGAGTTCCTATTCTATAAGGTCTCAAGCCTCAGTGGAGAGGGACCTGGCCTGTCCTCAGCACCCACCCTGCCTGTGAGAAAGACGGGCAGGCATGTGTATGGACAATCGATCCTAAAGTGAATGTCATCTTTTCCTGGAGTTTTCAACCCCATTACAAAACACTAGACTGAAAGCTGGGGATGTAGCTTAGTTGGGAGAATGCTTGCCTAGCATGTATGGAGAGGCTCCCTGGTTCAAGGCCCAGCACAACATAAAACTGAGTGTGACCTATAATTCCAGCACTGAGGAAGGGCAGCCAGGCAGGAAGATCGGAAGTTAAAGTCCAGCCTGGGCTACATAATCAGTTCCAGGCCAGCCTGGACTAAAGACTGTTTCAAAAAGTAAACCAATAAAACTCATCAAACGCTGGACTGATGAACTGAAAAATTACCCTGGGCCCAGATGTACAAACTACTTACAGCAGAAGAGTGGCCATTTTGAAGTCTGTTACAGCAAGGCAGGACAGACTAACTTGCAAAATAAAAATATGGGGCCCCTGGTTCCAAAATCATTACGTTCAAGACAGCAACACTACAAGACTGACCCAAGTGTGGACCCCCGGCCTTTGGGGACCAGTCCAAATCTAGGCTCCAATGGCTTGCCTGTCAGGTGAGTGGCTACCAGCACATCTCTGCAGAGGTCTGAGTCCCCATCTCATCCTCCAGCTGATGAGGCCCACCTAAGGGGTAGAGAGGCTCTTGTGTAATATTCGTCATGAGGAGAGACTCTGTAATGTCCCGATATCATCCACCAGCCTGTCGAGGGACTACAGCTGACTTCTAACGATAAGTTGTATATATTATTATGACGTATTAGCCAAGGCTCACACGGCACACACTGTGTCCAGTGCTGTTCTCGGTCTGTACGGACATCTGTTTGCCTCATTCCCACTGCTCCCCGTGTGTCTTTCTAACACAGCCAGGGAAACTGAGGGATAAAGCATTGTCACTTGCTAGAGGTTGTAAAGCCAGTCCTTAGAAGAGCCCAAATTCAAACACAGAACAGTTGGATCTCCAGAACCCATAAAGCAGCCTGGTGTAGGGCACGTCTCTACAACCCTGTCCTGCGGTGAGGGGAGGAACGGAAACTCCCTGGAGCTTGTATGCAGACAGCCTCACTCGGTCAGGGATCTCCAGGTTCAATGACACAACCTTAAAAAAAGTGTAAAGAGTTCCAAGTTGGGGGCGGGGGGAGACAGAGAGAGACAGAGACAGAGAGACAGAGAGAGACAGGTGCACACACAGAGAGAGACAAGTGCACACAGAGAGACAGAGACAGAGAGACACAGAGAGACAGAGACAGAGAGACAGAGACAGGTGCATACACAGAGAGACAGAGACAGAGAGAGACAGGTGCACACACAGACAGAGACAGAGAGACAGGTACACACACAGAGACAGAGAGACAGAGAGACAGGTGCACACACAGAGACAGAGAGAGACAGGTGCACACACAGAGAAACAGAGACAGAGACGGAGAGACACATGAACTTGTTTTAGTGGCAAGCCATGGTGCTGCAGGTCACGCCTACAGAGGCCAGAGCACTGGGGTTTCTGCAAGTTCAAGGCCAATCTAGGCTACAGTGTGAAACCCTGTCTCAAAAAAAAATAAAAAAGTCCTAAAAGTTCTCCCCAATGTGTGGGTGGAAAGGTGTGTAAAGGGTGCCCCTAGGGCCCTGCCCTATCCTGGCAGGCTGGGGATGGGGAGAGTGTGCTCTGGCAGCTGGGCTGGAGCTGTCTGCTGGCCTCTGTACCTGCCCCAGCTGGCCGGCCAGCCCTCTCTGGCACTCCCACCCCATGACACAGCATAAAGTGCAACCAAAGCTGGCCCCTTGCTGAGGCCTGTTTCCCTCCTCACCACCCCGGGGGGATTGGCTGGGAGCTGGCACTTGAGCCCAGCTCAGCATACTCTGTCCCTTTGAACTGGCACCCTTCAAGGCCAAGAGCAGCATGGTGCCCCTGCCTATCCTGGTGCCCTGTCCATGAAAGCTCTGTGTGGTGGTGCCTTGACCACCTGGTGGCATGTCCAGGAGGTTTGAGTCTTCCCATTTCCCAGAGAAAACAAGTTCACAGAGGAGCCAAACAAGGAAGGAGTTACGTCACCCGGGAGTGAGACAAACCAGAGCCACGGATGAGTCTGCATGGAGTGGCCCCTGGGGACAGGGAGCTGGAAGGTGGCTCTACCTCACGGGGTCACAGGACACCAGTTTTGTCACAGCTGGAGTCGTGGTGAGTTTGAATTACCTCTCTGTGCACCCTCACCACCCCTAGGAAACAGGCGTTTTACAAGTTGACCTAGGACACTGTACAGACCATGGAGCTGGATTCACCTCGGGCTTGCTTCACAGCTTTCTGTCAAGAAACCCACTCCAGCCAGGGAGGCAGAAGTAGGCAGCAGATCACTGTGAGTTTGAGCCTAGTCTGGTCTATATATCAAGGTCCAGGCCAGCTTAAGCTACATAGTGAGACCCTGTCTAAAAAAAGGAGGGGGGTGAGAAAAATCCTCTCATTTTTTTAAAAATATAAATTCATGTGAAATATCCCCACCCTAAGTGGAAACCAACCAGCTGCCATAACTAAACATTTACTGTGCAAAGAAATGCCTATTAGCATAATTCATAACTTTAGACACAATTCACTTAAAATCACCTAGTGGATATGTTAAGAGACTTGGAGAAACTTCTGCTCTATGCCATGGGTTTCAGGTGTGAGGTACCGAGAATCCCAGTGCTTAGGGAGGATATGGCTAAGCAGACAGGCTGCTTCCAAAAACCCATGCTTGCAGCTGAGCTGTGGCTTCTAACCTCTCCTGTCTGAGTCATTTGCATGTATTAGTAAACATGAGTGTCAATACTAATTAATACTGTAGGCACTGACCTCCCATTCCTTCAAGCTATGTCCAAGAAACTCTGAGGCTAGTTCAGGGAGTATAGGCCCTTGGCTGGCAAGATGAGAAACTGAGGCAGCGTGGGGAAAGAGTCCAGTTTCTGGGAACTGGCAGGCGAAGACTTCCCAGCCCCGCCCCGCCCCCAGTGAAGATCCTAGAAGCCCTGGAGGGCCCTGGCCTGCCAAACTGGTAACTCTGCTTCTCCTCACTTTTGCCGCCTCCCTACATCCCCAGGAGCTGAGGTGGATGGCAGCCATAGCCAGCCTTTTCCCAGGCCTGAGCACCATCATTTTACCCCTGGAGGGCAAAAGCACGTTTAGCAAGTGGCCTCACACGGCATCTTTTTATTTTCCACGGGTTTTGAGCACGGCGAGGGGAGGTCTACCCCAGAACCTGAGGAGCTGGGGCAGGGGGCTCAGGGAACACTTTCTCTTCTGTGAGTTGCTGGCCCAGGGACCCCCGAGGAATACTGCAAGAGCAATAAGGATTTTTAGGGGCATTATGATAGCGGAATGGAAACACATCTGCCCCCAAAAGTCCCTCATTTTCCCTGCGGTAACCAACCAACTGGCAGGAGGTAGAGGCTCTCGGAGGCACCAAGAGCCAAAACTGAAAAGGAAAAAAATGCAGAAAGTTAAAGCAAACTTCAGACAAGTGAACCTTCCGAGGGTGTGTGGTGCTAGGCACAGTCTCCCAGGATCCTCGGTATCTTTGCCACAACTCGCTACACGTGTTTCTAGGCAGAGTTTCCTACAGACATGCCTCACTCAGTCCAAGTGCAGGGAACCAGGCATCTGAGACAGCCCCCTGCCCCCAGCAGGCTCCAGAAATGATCACACTGAGATGCCCTAAAGCAGGAACTCACAGGGGCCTGCCCCGTTTTCCCCAAACACCAAATATTCATTCCTGTCCCTTGTTGATGAGCAGAGAGAAGAGATCCATCAGGGCCTCCCTTCCTGCATTATGGGAGAAAGTCAGCTGCCTTGGAGGCTGGGATGGAAATACCTAGGTGAGTGGCTGGTTCCATGGCTGACCCTTGGAGGGTGAGGTCTTAGGGAAGGGCCACTGGGCATTTATAGCTAATGGGACAAAGTCACAAGGGGGGTTGTGAATGTCCACACACCCCCTTGAGGTCTGGCCACTAAGATCTGGGAAAGAAGAAATCCATAGCAATGTCATCCCCAAGACATTTGACCTTGGAGATTTCTACTGGTGTCCCACCAGGCCACCGAGCACCCAAGGGCTTCATAGGGTTAACCTGTCCCCAAAGATTGCTCTCTCAGCAGTCTGACTATCACACTGGGCCATCTCAGAGAAGAGGCTGGGCTGATGGAAGTGAGCTTACGCCACCAAAGCCTTCCCAACACATTCCCAGTACCGGCTGGGTGGCCCCAAAGCGCTGGTGCAGCCTCCAGGCATCTGGGTCAGGCCTGGGAAGCTGCCACTCCACTTTTACCATGTGACAGCCGACAACAGAGCCTAGAGCTCTCCTTCCAGGCAGCACCTAAAATATTCTTCGGGTGAACGTGATGCTAAACATGGCCTGGCCCGTGAGCCCCTGGTTGGGTCTTTTGAATGCCAGGCTGAGGTACACTGAGGAGCCCAGGAGCCATCCTGAGGCCTGGAGTTCAATTAGTAGGACCAAATGAGAATCCCAGGGGTTTGGCTGACTCACACTGAGCCCAGCTTCCCCGAGCAGGTGGATCGGCCAAGGCTGAGCAGGCTGCAGACACCCTTCCCTGCAGAACTTAGGCCAGCATACCCACCCAAGCCTCACACTCAAGCCTGTATCAAGGTGGCTCTGGTGTCCCCCATTTCTTTGCCCATCTGGCCCTCCCTCTAGGTCATCAAATATCCTGCAACCTTCTCCCCACTTTTAGGCCCACAGCTCTGCCTCTTCAGGTCTAGGCAGAGAAGGCTCAACTCCCAAGAGTACACCAGGATGCCTGGCTGGGGGAGAGATTGGCAAAGAATTAACCAATGGCTGAGATGGGTCATAGGGCACCCCAACCTTGCTCACCACCCCTGGACAGCAGCGAAGGCTTTACTTGGCTACAAAAGCACAACTCTGTAGTGGAATTTTCTAGAACCTTGTGTGTGTTCTAGAAGCTAAGTGTGTTTCCTTTTGTTTGTCCAGAAGGAACCTATCCTTCCCCAGAGCCCACAAGGTCACCAAGCTATTGAAGCTAGCGGGGTCTCTGAGAGGACCACTCTAGGGACCCAAATACCCACATTCTCACTAAACTGCTGCTACCCAGACCCCAGGCGAAAGACCTCTAGGCCACTATCTGGAGCTTATTTGGGCTCTAGTCATAGCAATAAAGCCATGTCTGGGCCTCAGCTGGCAGCAGTCCAGGCTGTCTTGGGTACTAATGCCAGCAGGCCCCAGGCACAGCTCTCATGGCTGAGTCTAGCAGAAGAGTCCTGTTTGCTGAGGTCTCAAAACTTGGACACTACATTGAGACTCAGTAGCACAGCTCAACCCTGTGCCTGCGTGCCTTTCTCTCCCCACCTAGGGTGGGTCCTCAGAAGGAGCTTGCCTGTGTCTGCTAGGCCACCTTACAGGGGCTCTCCCTGGACATCACTACCTTTGTGTTTTCCAGGGTGTCCCCTTCCTACTACAGTGCATGAAACACTGAGGGAAAGTGGACTCTGGGGGTCTGTACAACTCCAGTGTCCTTTGTGAGAAAAACAATGACAGACTGGAAACGTCAATATCTGCCCATGCCCCCACAGCTACGGACTGTGAAGGCCGCAGCAGAACACTGGCAGCTATGGAAAGAAACCATGAGGTGCCCGGGGGTTTGGCCTGGCATGGAGTGAATAGAGGGACCCCAGAGTCTATTGCTCCCATTCCCCCAACCCCTTTCTTCAACATCTCTTTCCCTGAAAAATCTACAGCTGTTTATAACATGCTTGTGTGGGTTGAAGGGGTTTATTTTCATCTTGTTCCAAATCTGAGAAGCAAGAAGGGCTTCAGGTTAGAATGCACCTAATGTAAGTCCGATGAAGTCTTCTCTGATGAAGTCTCCGCTGTGTGTGTTTTCTGGTAAGTGGTTCTGAAGTGGGGACTTGTGTACCTGACTAATTTTTATTTTCATATCTAAAATAGCCATTTACTAGCTCAGAGAGCTCTAAGTTTACCTCACCCAAATCTTCTTGTTTATTTACAGTGCATGGGTTGAACCCAGGGCCTTATGCAAAATAGGCAGAATTACAGCCCCAGCCCTTCTTTCAGTCAGACAAGAGGGCAGGAAGCAGGGTTTCCCCTGCTTGGGTCATGCATGCACATTTAGTTTTGAAGGGCACATCCTTTCTATCTCACCTCTAGTCATAATTATTGACATATTTTCTGTTGAAAATTTCCCCTGTACAACATATATATTGCAAAGGAACCAAATTCAAAGTTGCCTCCACCCCATCCCCACCCCCCAAATCCACACTCCCATCCACAAGGAGATGGGTGGCGGGAAGCAGCAGCTGCTTAATGAAATTTTACGAGGACAGGCCAAGGGAGAAAAACCTAAATGTATTCAGAGTATTCAACAGTTCCTTGTTGGATTTTTTTTTTTCTTATTGGCAGAGGAGGGAAGTTGGGTGGCAGCTAGAACATGCTTTGCTGATTTTGTGACTGTGACCTCTCACTGCAAAGTACTGATTTATAATCTTCTTGCCATGCTACTTTTCCTGTTTGCAAACTCTGGTTGGAGACAGGGAGCTGTTTGCTAAATATGTTCATAATCACACATGTGGACCCACAGAGCTGAATGTAAACACTGCCCTATGCTTTGGGTATGCTCACCTTAAAAGCAGGAATTGGTTCACATTTAACACTAAATTCTGCATGACTTTCTACATTTTTAACAATTCCATAATTTTCACCTTCCACTTCATCACCTCCATGACAGCCCCTGATCTGAGCTCATCATCTGGTGCTCCAGCCGCATTCATTCACAGAAAATACTCTATTTGTACAAGTATCGTTAAAGGCTAATTTGCTGAGATTATTTAGCAGAGTCGATAGGATCTGGCTGTCACTTCAAGGTAGCAAGTGAGCAAAGCACCACCACAGCTCACATGTGGCCATCACCCACGGGTGAGCCACAGCACCACCACGGACTCCTGGAAATGGTGTGGACTTGTCGAACCTCGTAAGAAAAACAAGGAACGCTGGAAGGAAAGAACGTTTCTTGTCTGCCAAGGCAGCACAAATGTCATCTGTGTGTCCCTGTGCCACAAGGAGCAAATCACTCAATCTGCTATCAGGGGCTCAGTTCAAAAGCTATTGAGGCATTCTATTCCCCGCTGTGAATGCTTAATTTAAATTCAGGTTTGCAAATAGCTCAGGGTGTGTAGATGCATATATGGTGTGCTGTGCTTACCCAACAGAGGGCAGAGGTGTGTGTGAACACTAAGGTGAACATCCTGAGAGGGACATTTGCTCTGCCTTATAGATGCCTCCTCAACTCATTGTCCAGATTTTCTTACAAATGCTTTGCTCAACATGGAGTAGCAGAGAATTACAAATTCGTGGATCCAGGTGGAAGCAAACAGCTGACTGCTTGCTCCTTTGACAGGTAAATCGAAGTCTCTTAGCATTATGGTTTATCTCAGTGGTATTTAGGGGTTTCAAGCTAAGAAACACAGTCCAGAGTCGACCATTTCCTACTGGTCTTGTCCACCCAAAGGCCTCATGAAGCCTCTTGGGATGTGTGTAGAGCCTGTATGTCCCCTTTCTGCTACCTTTTGCCTCTCATGGAGGGGGCCACTGCAGGTTTGTACTGAGAACAGAGCTGGATAAGAATACCCTCCCACCCTAAAACAGCCTTTCCCTTTGACCAAATGGGCCAGCCTTCTTTCTCTGCAGGGGGGTTTTAGTTTCAGACCGATAGCCTGGGGGTGTCGGCCCTCACCCTCCAGCGGCTGCCAGGGCCTGAATCCTTTGCAGTTAGGATGACCCCAAAAGCGGGACTTTGTGGGCCAGTTGGATAAAACACAAACTCATCTCGCCCTCAAAACCCCGGTCCTGGGCCCACAGCCTTGGGAGCCTCTTTTCTGAAGTGAGCCCCTTTGGGGTTTGCAGGTCCCAGCAGCCTTGCTAGCCTTAGAGAAAGGGTTCGAAAGAAGGCAGAGTTACTAAAAATGCCTGCCTCTTTCTGCTGGAAGGAGGTTCATCTCCCCCAAAGCCAGGGGGTCGCTGCGGAGGGAGGGATACTGTATCTACCCCCGCCATCGGTCCCACACAATCAGGCCTGAAAACATTCCAGTAAATACCAGGGCTGCCGCAAGGTTCTTTATCAAGCATAAATCCAGTGTTTGAGGGGCCTCGAATACCTCACCCCATCCCACCTCCAGCTAAATAAAGTTCCATTTATGCCCTTAATTGTCGCTCATTAAAGTCAAATTTGCTGCTCAGTCCAGATTGGGAGAAATTATTTCCATCTTTAATAGCTCAATTAGCCTTCGGGTTCCCAAGAGGACACCATCCCAAGCACACCTTTTCTCTCCATTTTAACCCCTCCCTGTTTCACAACTTCTCCTAAAAATAAATTATAAATATGGATGTGTCCTCAGAAGACGTGAGCGGCACATTCCTCCGCTCCCCTTGGTGGGATTGGAAGCAAGAGAAACCAGAGCCGCCACTCCCCCAAACACAAATCAGTAAGTTTTTTTCCTAACCACCTCCCAACTTGGTGTCGTTTTAGTCCCAGACATTCGGATCCTCACCCCGAAACCTAGTTTTAATCTATTTATTTTACTCCAGTCCGGTTAGGCTACAGCCAAAGCGCTAAGGCCAACTGCTCCTAGAGGGAGGGGCCCCCCTAACTTTATCTCGGGGAAGGTGGTAAGCTGTTCCAGACTCTCGGGGACCTCCAGCGCTCCCTGCCAGCCGGGCCCCCGGACGCACGTGGAGTGTCGGGTGCGGCGGAGAGCCAGCAGCCCTGCTCTGCGCGGCATTGATATCGGGGTCACGCAGCAAGTCAGTTTCACGAATAGGTTTTCCGGGGTGGGGGCTGGGTGGCTGGTTTTCCACCTCCCCGTTCATCTCCAAGCCCCAGCGTTAAGGAAGTGGGAGCCTCGCCTCGCCCCTGTCCCACCTCCTGGCCTCACACACGCCCCTCTGGGGAAGGGGTTCTGGTGGGGTTAGCGTCTCCAGACGCCAGGGTGGCGGCAGCCTAGACAAGCTTCTAGAGCTGGGTCCTGAAGAGTCGAGCGCGAGCCCTCGCCTCTACCTCCCCGCTCTGGTCCCCACCCACCCAGCCGGGCAGACAGCCGCCCCGCACCCCACGCCCCAGGCCTGAGCACCCACCTGCCGCGCTCCCCACCCCAGCCGGGGCAGGGAGCGGTGCAGGAAGAGCCAGGGCACTCACCGCGCCTCCTCCTGGGTGCAGGGAGCCCCCCGGGGCTGTGCCTTTTGGCGCCCCGGCCGGCGTGCGCGGGGCGGGGTGCGCCCCGGGGCACTGCAGCCTTTCCACACGATCCTCTCGGCTGCACGCGGGGACTAACGAGGGTGAAGGGGGACTTCCAGAAACAAAAAGCAAGACCCAGCCCCCTCCCCAACCACGCTGGGAGAGACAGGTTTTCCAGCAACCCAGAGCAGCGCGCCGAGCCCACGGGGCTGCACCCGGCCTCCGCGCCTGCCACAAAGCCGCGCCCCCGCCCGGGCGGCCCCCGCCCCCCCCAGAGCCCTGTGGCCGGCCCGAGGCGGGGGCAGGGCCGGCCGGGGGTTGGCCACACAAGGGAGGCGGCTCCTCTCCAGCCCGGCCCGGGAGAAAGCTTTCCAGCTGAGCTCGTCCGCCCCAGTGGCGAGGTGGGTGGGGGTGGCTGGGGAAACCTTCCTAGAAACCCTGTCCAGATAGAGTCCACGGACACACACATTCCTAGAAATGTGGCCCGGGCCATGTCAGTAGCGACCCTTGCGGGGGGATGCTGAGGCGGACACATCAGATCCCAGGGTCCATACTAAGAGAGGGAGAAAACTCCCCACTTCTAATGTGCCAAGAGAGGGGGGTGCCACTGTGCCTCCCTCTGGGAGATTGCGGGTGTCGGAGTGAGGAGCAGGCAGTATTCAGGGATCCCTGAGCTGGAGGTGGGGGCTGCCGGGGTGCCCGAAATGGAGAGGCATCCACTTAAGATTCAGACCCGCCCTCGGCTCTGCCCCCTTCTTTTGGGAACTCCGGGTGCCTGCCGCAGCGAGCGCCTTCGGCCCCTCCCCCAGCCGTCAGCTCTCCCCCTCCACACGCACGCACAGGGAAGCCGGCGAGGCAGCAAGCGCCCCCAGCTCTTCCGCCCACCCCTTGTGTGTCCCAAATCTCCTTCTGGGGTGACTGCAGTGCCTTGGAAGACCCCCAGTCCAAATTTCGGGGGTACACTCCACTCGTTCCCAAGAGTTACTCCCAAACTAACCCACCTTCAGACCCAAACCGAAAGTTGAGCTTTCTCTTTCCGAATCCACCCGCACTCTTGCAGCCCCAGGCTCTGGAAATGGGGTGGGGCACGAAGGGGACACTTTCTGTCTGTCACGGTACTGACCTCCGGTGCTGTCACCCTGACTCCCAAAAGGTATTTTTGGTTTCAACATCGGGGAGTTTGCCCTAGCTCAGTCAGCTCCTGAAATCGTCCTCCCACACCCCTACCCAAGGATCCGCAGAACCGTTGCAGAAGCCACCACCCCTCTTGGCCAAAGAGGATCCGAATAACTGAGACACGCCTTGTCCCTCTCCACAGCCCAGCCAGCCTCTCTGCGCGAAAACGTGACTGGACTGAGTTTCCTGGGATCATAAAAAATGTATTTGCTGTCCTCTGTTGGCCAGCGGCTGTCACACTCTGAAAAGCACATCAGCCAACCCAGAGTCTTGATTCCATGGGGAGAGGGAGCCAGCGAGCAAGGGAGAGACAGAGAGACAGACAGAGAGACAGACAGATGGGAGAGAGAGAGAGAGAGAGAGAGAGAGAGAGAGAGAGAGAGAGAGAGAGAGAGAGAGAGAGAGAGAGAGAGAGAGAGAGAGAAAGTGTTCCAGAGACCCCAAGGAGAGTGAGCCAGGCAGCCCCCTCCCACCTCGCGAGTGGAAGAACTCTAGCGTCAGGACTGTGAGCCACTGCTTCTGTGGCTCTTGGCCACTGCGGTGCTCCAGAAGGCAAGCAAAGTTGGGGATACAAGGACCTCAAAGAGTGACTTTTCCAATAGCAACGTGGAAAGGACATTTGACCAAGGGAGACAGGGCTTGCTCACTGATAACTGCCCCTCTAGTGTGGGAGCCATACACAGAACAAGGACTGTGCCATTGTGTCCCTGGAACCCTACCTTACAGATAGGGGGCTTGCAGATCAGTGGCTTCTATGTGGCGGGAGGTACAGTGTTGATGATGACCCTGCCCTCAGGAGCTTGTTTTCTGAGGGAGAGTCCAGAGTTGATGGTGATTGCTATGCAGTCACCATTGTCTAGGGTCCTAGACCCAGGTGGCCTTGGGTCAGGGGACCATGAGAACAGACTGAGGTAGTCTCTGCTGTGTCCTATCTCCATAGATGCTGCGGCAGGGGCAACCTTGCTGCCCGCTTTGGTGAACTTCATGGAGGTACAACTATGTTCTATTCCACCTGGGCACTGTCTAGGTATGTCAAACCTTTTGACACTGGGACACAACATTGTCATCTACAAAGTTCATGCTCAAGCCTGTGCTCCCTCAATAAAAAAATCACATACACAAATCTTTGTGTGTGTGTCAAACTGCTACATACAGACTGTGAGTCACAAGTTGGACACCCCTAGAGCCTCTCTGGACTCATCTGTAAAGTGGGAGTTAAGAAGCCATATGTCCATAGTGGTGACACACCACTACGTGTGTGTGAATAGAACAAAGAACCCCTTTGTGGGAAATTGAAAAAGAAGCTGTCCATTAGGAGTACTTAGTGAAGCTGTCCCAAATACCCAGCAGCTGCTTCCGAAATTACCACACGGAGAATTATATTAATTCTAAATGATCTGTCAGTAGCTCAGGCTTGTTATTAACTAGCTCTTACAACTTAAACTAACCCATTTCTATTAATCTATGTATTGCCATGTGGCTTGTGGCGTTACCTGTCCTCTGGCATGTCTTGCTTCCTGGGCAGCTGGCTCGAGTCTCTCCTGACTCCGCCCTCCTTCTTCCCATCATTCTCTGGCTTTCCCACCTAACTTCCTGCCCAGCTGCCATCCTGTCAGCTTTTTATTAACCAATGAAAGTGATACATATTCACAGTGTAGAAAAGGATTGTTCCACAGCGACTTAGCGAAACCATTACTCCTTACTTGAGCTTGGTTGCATTCCCTGGAGAAGCCTGAAATGAAGAAGAGGGACGATGCCAGGCCAGTGGGAAAGAGGAACTAGGGCTGTATGTGACATGGGGAGGCCCAGCCCCGCTCTGCAGCTGAGGTGACTTTCTCCTGCTGCAGAAGTGCCAGCTCAGGGTCCTTCAGGGGTGACTCACCCTGGCACTCCAATTCAGCCCTGCCTGAACCCAAAGGGTTAGCTGGTTGGATGCAGGAGGGTAAACAGTCTCTGGTTGGCTGTATAGGCCTCACCACAGGCTAGGGACGCCTGGCTTTTAAAAGATGCTCCCAGGTCCATTGGAGTCCTGTCCTTACCAGGCCTAACTCAGCGCCCACAATTAGGCAAATGATGGATCTGAGATCCAGTTAAGCATGTCTCCATCAACATACACGGAAAACAACTTGCTGTTTGGCCTGAAGCCCTAGAGGCCCATGCTGGTCTCCTCCCAAGAAGAAACCTCACTTATTGGCCCTGTGATGACACCAAAACTCAACCAAATCTATGGAAAAGCTGCAAAGGGCCTTGGAGCCCCAGAGAATCACAGCCAAACCGAATCATTGGGAAAGCCCTAGGCCGGTGAGAGAGGCCAGGCATAGGCCTCACATCGTTTCTCTGGGTTTTCATGGGGCCTGAGGGAAGCGGACAAAAAGGTGGTTAGTTACTATCAGCTGCCAAGACTCTCAGTGTAAAAGAAATAAACTTCTAGGGGCCAGCAAGATGGCTCAGCAGGTAAAGGCAGCCCTAAAGCCTCTCTGAACCTCAGTTTCCCCATCTGTAAAGTGGGAGTTAAGTCCTAAGCCTGTAGTGTTGACTCACAAATGGAAGAAAGAAGCCGCTCTGTAGCCCTTTGGGGGAGTTTTAAAAAGAGTCTCTTTATTAGGAATCCTTAGCAATGTGCAACCATTACTCATTACTTGAGCTTGGTTGTATTACCCAGAGAGGCATGAGCTGAAGTGAGGGAGGGGAACGATGCCAGGCCAGTGGGAAAGAGGAAAACACTTGCTGCTAAACTTGTTCCTACAAGTTGACAGACAGACAGACACACACACACACACACAGACACACACACAGACACACACACACACAGATAGACAGACACACATACACGCATACACACACATGCACACATACACACAAAGGTAATAATAAAAACCCTACATTTCCAAAGCAAGCACAAAAACTGTGACACAAACCTGAGGCAGGAATAATCTGAGTTCTAACACAGCCTGTGCAACTTAGTGAAGCCCTGTCAGAAACTAAACAGACAGTTTGCCTAAGGATGTGGGAGGCCCAGGTCCATCCTCAGCACTGATGTTAGTTATCATACAGTACATGTTAAAAGTTTACATTGAACAAATGTGAATGAATAAAAAAGAACATGTAGGGGCTGGAGAGATGGCTCAGAGGTTAAGAGCACTGCTTGTTCTTCCAAAGGTCCTGAGTTCAATTCCCAGCAACCACACGGTGGCTCACAACCATCTATAATGAGATCTGGTGCCCTCTTCTGGCCTGCAGGGATATGTGCAGACAGAACACTGTATACATAATAAATAAATAAATCTTTAAAAAAAAAAAAAAAAAAGAACATGTAAATATATTACAGAGAAGTTACTTGGACATGGGAAGAGGTCTGGGTAGGTAGAGGACATATTTGGTCCTCCAATAGGGTCTTGGGACGCAATTTGAAGGGGGCATGCTAGCCCTTAGCTCTTTCAACCCCAGCAGAAGGCTATGCCTACACTTGTGAAATCCATGTGTCTTAGGGTTCTATTGCTGTGCTGAGACACCATGACCACACCAACTCTTATAAAGGAAAACATTTAATTGAGGTGGTGGCTTACAATTTCAGGGGTTTAGTCCTGGGTGGGACATGGTGACTTGTGGCGGCATGCAAACAGACATG